TTTTTTTTTTTTCCACCTGGAACTAGCAATACCTTATAGCTCCAGTTCCCTTTAGATGGTCCTGAGAAATCAGTAGTCACTGTCTACTCAGGAAGATTAGGCACAAAAACATGTTTTTCCAGGTTGCTTCTTTGCAAGCACAGAGATTGAAATGCGAGCGGCATTCCTCTCCCCGTGAATATCTGCCGCTTTTCTCGTACTGACCCCAGGCCCGGCGCCGAGAGCTGGACGGGAGGCCGCGGCGAGGCCGGGTGCTGAGCGCTGAGGAGCTCGGAGCGGGTCTCGCCGAGCCTCGACGCCTCCGGGTCCCCGCGCCCCAGGGCGGCTGGTGGCCGCGGCGGCAGCTGGATGCCCACCCAGCTTCGGCCACTTGATCACTCGGGTGGGTGAGGACGCGTAAGGTGGTCAGAAAGGACTGTTCGGATGGGTTAAGGGCTGCCTCCGGCTGGGGCTGTGCCCGTGGCCCGTCAGGGATGGAGGAAAGCGGGGTGCTTGAACCCCCTGCTTAGCTTGTGGCTGACGGCACCGCAAGACTGGTGGGTCCCGGCCAGCACTCATCTGCTTTAACGACAGGGAGTAGTGAAAACAAAGATTGTTGGGGTAGTAATTACTGATCAGTATAGGAAGTTCTGTTCTTAAACCCTCCCTTCCCTGGAACTCATTTTGGGAAGGTGTCCTAGGATAAGTTAATTGAGGAATACAGTAACTCTGCAGCATCTGTAACAGCATCCAGGAGCGTCTTCTTGCTCAGGAGGGGAGAGGGATTAATGATGTGGTTTCCTTCTCCAGGCAAATCCAGCAGGCTTAATGGGATGCTGCTGTCCAAGAGTGCAGTGGGCAAAGGAGGAAAGCTCCCGAAAGAAGCAAGCAGGGCGTCTGGCACCGTTTGTGGGAGCAGTGCTGACGGAGGAGACCTCTGGGACTCTGCTTTAGCAAAAGCAGAGCAGCGCGATGCGGAGCTCTGCAGGCAGGTAGGGATGCCTGGGCTGATCCTCGAGTCTCCTGCCAGAGGGGGAAGATGGTGGTGTCAGTGTAGCTGCTGAGTTCTGCTGGGTGTTCTGGTTTAGTCCTTCCTGTAACAATACTTGAATAATCTCCCACCTCTTTCTGAGCCAGGTGTGGCTGTTAACTCCACTGTGCCCCTCTGACAGACTAAATGGACAGGCAGTGAGAGTAAAGCAGCTTTTCCCAAGTCCAGGAGAGGTTCTGTGGCAAGCAAAAAGCAAGGAGCTGGATTTGGATCTCCTTCACTCAGGCTCAGGTAGCAGCCTCCTGGCCAGGCTGCATTTGTCTTGCAGAGGTGGCCTCCCACGAGCAGAGGGGTAACAGCAGCTCCCCTGTTTGTCCCCAGCTGGCGAGAAGCTGGCGTGGGCCTGGGGCCAGACTTTGTGCCCATGTGCTAGCTGCTGTCACTCTGGCTTGGCAGTTGGTTTGTGCAAACTCTCTGGGGAAATGAACTTCAAACAAAAGTAGAAAGCATTATAAAATATTTTATATATCAAAATATATATATATATGTATTTTCTAAATATGTTTACATATATTTTAATACATATTAAAAATACATATAAAAACAATATAAACTAATTTGTTTGCCAAAGGAAAAACATAATTGCAATAAATCCCTGAAGGGGTTAATCTGGGCCAGCGCTCCTGGGTGCTCTGGTTTAAAGGGTCAGGCCCTGGGGGGCAGGGAGCACCCCCAGTCACCTCCAGGGTCAGCAAGCCTGGTGGTGCCAGAACTTCTGGAAACCAGGCTGACAGTTTAAGAAGCAACTCCCGAGTTCAGGCATTTAAGGGATAATGGGGTTAAATGAGCCCAGACATCCCGGCCTTACCCTGCAAAAAACGTGCTGGCTCCCAGAGCCAGGTGGGAATGACAGGGCGAGTTGCTGTGGGGACCATCACCCACTCATGTCCTGTAAAGATTTTCTCCCTGAAGCTAATCTGTTCGCTATATATGGAGGAGGTAGCAGAGACCTGAGTTTCTCTTCCACTCACCCTTGCTGGGTGCGTGCTTTCAGGGAGCACCCCATGTGGCAAAATCAAAGCGCTTGGGAGTTTCACCCTGGTGTATCCCACTTGGGCAGTGAAGGTGCCCGTGAGGGGAGAGGCTGCTGCTCAGGGGGGTTCAGCTGGTGAAAGATTTGGGTGTTGGGATTCAAGGGCGTGTCTGCTAGGGGACCGCACGGCGGGGTAGGACAGGCTCCCCCGGGCAGCACGGTGGGGTCAGCGCTGGGGCCCACCGGGGAGGTGGGGCGTTGGGTAGCTGGAGGAGGAGGAGGACAGGGCTATCAATGTGTCGTTCCCCTGAAGGACAGCGCAGCGTCCCGGCTCCCACCCCGTGGGCAGGGAAGGCGCCTCTCCCTCCGCTGTTATTTTTGGCTTCTCCTCCTCCGCTCCTCCCTCGGGTGCGCAGCCGGTGCCGGGAGCCGCGGGCAGGCCGCGCAGCGAGGCCGGGCTCTGCCCCGAGGGGTACGCGGCGCCCCTCCCGGGGCTGTGCC